CTCCACAGCCGCCTTCTCCACAGCCGCCTTCTCCACAGCCGCCTTCTCCACAGCCGCCTTCTCCACAGCCGCCTTCTTCACAACCGCCTTCTTCACAGCCGCCTTCTTCACAACCGCCTTCTTCACAACCACCTTCTCCACAGCCGCCTTCTCCACAACCGCCTTCTCCACAGCCGCCTTCTCCACAACCGCCTTCTGCCGTACGGGGTCGCAGCGCAGCGTGTAGCAGTGTCTGCCATTACGGGTACCTTGGCAGACTCGCCAGGAGCCTCTGCGCGGTTGAAGTGCGACGAGGACGTCCGAGTCGGGAAAGTAGGGTGAGATGAGTCCGCGATATACGAAGTCGCTCCTGCCGCGGTTTTGGTCTTGGCCTTGGCCTTGGGGTTCCTTAGGTAGAGTTGAGGCGTCCTTAGGTTGACGAGGGGTTCCCGGGTTGTAGAGAACATCGTTCCCGCCATACCACCTGAGTCGGCGCACAGTAGAGCGAGCTAGTTCGTTGCCGTAGACGGCGTAGGTGTGGTTTGAGGGTCCGCTCGGTTTGCCATGGCGCGTTGTACTGCCAGTGCGCAGGTCGGACAATGTCGCAGTGCACTCATTCTCAGCGCGAGCGCGTACCACACCCATTGACGATGGAGCCGCGTATACAAACCACACTTCACGTTGACATGCTCCCATCTTTACAGCCGCCAGCCGGCACAATGCGACTGGCGCCTCGTCCGGTAACCCGCGCATCTCCGCGGCACACAACACTTTCTGCATACTCGCCAGAGCTGCTCCTAACAGGCTCACCGCACCCGCTCTTCGATCACACCCACGCATAAAAATTTACTCCGAAAATCAGTCTACAACGAAGGAGGCCCGGGCAAGGTCTTTTCTTGAGATCCCATGACCCGGGGAACTCCCATGACCCGGGGAACTCCCATGACCCGGGGAACTCCCATGACCCGGGGTAAAGCTTCAGCAGGCAGCGAATAACCAGTGCAGCCAACCATCCCCGAACTCCAAGCTGGGGCACTTCTGGCTGGGGCGTCTCCCGGTGCCATGCGGGGCCCCACATTGTTTTGGGGGCCCTGGCGGGTGTTGGTAGGCTGACCACGGGCGGTCATTGGGTCTTGGTCTTGCGCCGACTCGGTGGGCACCTTGTGAGTTAGTTGTGGTGGGGAGAGGCGGACGGCGACCAGGACCTGATTGTGGGGAAACCAGGAGGAGAAGAAGCCTCGTAGGACGCGGTCGAATTCGAACGGCGTCTGGCGCAGTCCGTGCCAGCGCAATCCGTACCAGTGCAGCCGTCGACGCGAATAGGGGTGGAGCTGGTCCGCCGAGACTCTAAGTACGGGGCCTTTCACTGATTCTTGGAGCCTCCCCGCAGCTTCCTGCAGTGACGCCGCCGTTTGGTGGTTCACGACGCCCCTGTTGATTTGCGCAGGCGTAACATGGCACCTCTCGCCCAGTTGGCGCACTGCTCCCAACTCCGCCACATGAAGGTTCCACGCTTCGGTCTCTCCCGCCTCCGTCTGTCCCGCTTCCGGTATCGCCGCCAGTCCCACCCACGCCGAGTCCGGTAACGCGAGCAATTCCGCCCCACACAACAGCTTCTGGAATGCCGACAGTAACGCCGCCACACCCCGAACAGCACTGGATTCACCGCAATTACACCGCATTCTTTTTTTAAACCCTCCCAGCAGCTCTCCACGCGCTCCGCCAGGCCGACGGGCAAAGGAGTGTGCGGACTTTCTCCCGCGTTTACCACTCCCTGAAGCAAGAGATAAATGGCAACGTCATACAGGTGTGCTCGAGA